CGGAGGACCGAATTAGTGAATTAGAAGACAAGGAAGCAAAACACACTCAAACTGTACTGCAAATGGAGAAAAAAATTAAAAGACAGGAGGAGAGCCTAAGGGAGCTTTGGGACAACATGAAACGAAACAACATACGAATAATAGGGGTGCCAGAACAACAGAAAGATGAACATGGATTAGAAAACCTATTCGAAGAAATAATATCAGAGAGTGGGGAGCACATGGTGCCCATGTGGCTGACACCCTGGAAATGGAAGAGGACATAGGAAAGACACATGTGGCTCAGAGGAGGAGGCCCGCAAGGTCTATGAAAGAGCTGGGGGTTGGCAACGCAGGCAATGGGGCCAGGAAGGCGCCTGGGCAGGGAGTCGCACAATCAGGTTCAGAGTCCATCATTTGTGCTTTACATGCTTGTAAAGTTACCAGCCCTGAGACGGCCAGTGCAACACACTGAATGTAGCTTTGGAAAACAATAGTTCTCTAGACTTCAGTTTGGATAAACAACTGTGTAAAATAAGAATGGACTCTTGGTCCTGGCTCCACTGCTTGAGCATAAGAGCTTTTTAGCAAGTTCAGTCAGTCCTTCACCTCTCCTCACAACAGAACTGTCATTCTCGGCCCACGTTGGGTGTTCGGTATCACGTGATCTAATGATTGTGGAAGCTCGAAGCACAGCCTCTTCAGCAAGTTAGGAAATACATATCCTGAATGTTTGGAAATCTGGGAAAGGCTCCATGTCTTTCCTCTTTTTTTTTTTTTTTTTTAAGTTTTACTCGATATAACCAGCCCTTACATACTTCTGTTCTAAGATGATGTTAAATATCAGGGGGGAGAACTAAATCCTGACCATTCTCACCGCACCCCAGATTATGGGCAATCCCAACTTCATTTATGTAGTAGCCCTGAGCACCGTACACAGAGAAGCAGAGTGATGTACATGTTTCTAATTGAGGGGTGAAAGGACGTATTCCTTACACAGCTCCACACAGGAAAGGGACGTAGCTGGGCTCTGAGAGCAGTTTCACATCCATTCGAGCTGTTGGGAAGGCAGAGGACAAGGAAGTGTGAAAGGACAGTCCAGCACTGAGCAACTGTGAAAGGCACGTAAAGGACTGAGTACCCCTTCCAAACAGGGCAGGCCTCACACGGCCCCATGCTGCTGCAGAGCGGCAGCAAGCAGCCAGCCTGACAGCTCCCCTCCACTGCTTCCAGTGGCCCGTGCCAAGTCACCAACATTCTCTGGGTTTCACGTTCTTTGGCTATAAAATAACAACACTGTCAGCATGCCTACATCACCATCCTGCCAGAATAAAACAAACCGACTCTGTCCAGCCCCTGGGTCTTCCAAATGACTATGATGGCCATCTTCCCTGGGAAGTCAGTGGAGTGCTAAGGACAGCCGCAGTGTGGGGACACACTCTAAGGTGGACCTCAGCCCACTAGAGAACCTACAGGAAGGAGAGCCCTTGTGACACTTCCCAGTCACCTTGATGGCTTGGAGTTGCACAGGACCATTCTGGACCTCACCGTCCCCCCACAGACCCAGAGGCCAGCCCAGCAGGGTCCTATGGGACAGGACAGGCTGCAGGGCCACTGCTGTATTCATCCAGTGACTCAAGGCTGGGACCTGGCCTGCTATCATTTATTTACCCAGATACAGAATTTATGGAAGCCAAAGTATTATTGGTTTAATTTTCCTTTTCCTTGTTTTTAATTTTTAAGCTGTTAACTATTAGCACCTATTTATTTTCTCCCAAAGCACATTTTTTTCTGATGAGAAAACCTTCTGCCCACCTTCCTGTTCATCTCCTGTTTTCAGTTCTCTATTGACTACTTAAAAACAAGCCAACAAACAAAAGACATCATTTCATTACAACCCAACTCAGCTGGTCTCTGAGGCTTTAGGCACTGGCACAGATATCTGTAAGCATGTACTATGCATTTTCTCTCTCTCTCTCTCTCTTTTTAAAATTTATCTTTATTGTTGAAAGTATTACAGATGTCTCCTTTGCTTTTTTCCCATTGACCCCCTCCACCCTGCACCCCCTCCTCCTGTCCTTCACTACACTATTGTCTG